AATTGGATCGCCACTGTTTCTTAACTGGTGTTCATTTTGACTGTTTAAAATTTTCTGTTATATGAATCAATAGTGATGATATTTGTCTTATTGGTATTCTAGTTTCAAAATGGCTCAAGCTGCTCCTCATAAACCAAAATGAAACTTTATTAAAAACTATAAATGATGTCAAAAATACAGTTTTAACTTCAAATGAGGCAGCCGGCAGTACAATATTTCAAAGAGCACATTGAGTAAAAAAAATTAGAAACAAAGTGCCTTTTTCGCCAGCCGTCTTAAAAGATGTCACTTTTAACGTCAATTTTGGACGGAAAACTTGACGTTTTTGTGAGAGTAAAAAAAAGTTGCGTTACTAAAGTAACAACGTCATTTTTGCCTTTTTAATCCTAGCATTAATTTTTTTTTTAATCCTAGCCTTAAAAAGTTAAAATTTTTTTGAGATTTACTTTTTGGCTGGCGAAAAAGTAGTATGTTTCATTCGGATTAAAAGTCAGTTTTTGACTCGCAATTTTGCATCCGCTCGGCTTCGCTTCGCTCCGCCTCGCAAATGCAAAATTTGCTCGTCGCAAAAAATGGCACTTTTAATCCTAATAAAACAATCTACTATTGGCGCGAAAAATGGGTCCACCATCAGTGTTATTAAAAGAAGAGGAGACCATTATGCAAGTGGATTTTTGCCAAATCAATCATAATTGAAACACATAAAAAGAATCCACTCATAGACAACCGTCCAGGAACAAAATGGCTAAAATTATATATCGAAAGCAAGAGCTAGCACAACAGAGGATGCCAAAAGGGAGTGGTTTACAGAATTGAAATTCTATTTACAAACAGAAAGAATAGAAGACATAATGAATGATCCCACAACAATTTATAACGCAGATGAAACTCGGATACAATTCTGTCCTAAACGAAAACTTCTTGCTCCAAAAAATATAAATTTTTTTTATGAAATCGCCAGTGTTCCTGAAAAAGAAATATTAACTATTCGGCCTCTGGTATGGTAGTTCCACCAATTTCCTTATAAACGAATACCTCGTAATGTATTGGCTTCTGTCCCTTACAATTACTTCATTGGACGATTTGATAGTGTATGGATGGTGGCCTAGACATTTTTTTAATACATTTACAATTTGTTTTTACCCATGGTTAGTGAAGAACGATATACAGTTTCCAGTAATATTGTTCTTGGTCATAAATCACACATAAACATCGAATTGGCTAACTTTTGCTCTAAGAATAAAATTATGATATATTGTCTTCTTCCTAACGCTACGCACATCTTAAAATCGTGTGATGTTTCAATTTTCAAACCCTTCAAAGAAGCTTGGAAGAAGGATATTTTAAAGTACTAGCAAACAACAAATAAATTCATCACAAAAGTCACTTTTACGCGTCTTTTTAAAAAGGCATTAGATCCAGTCTCCATAGACGCTATCCACAACGGTTTTAGAAAATGTGAATTATCTCCATTCAACGAAGAAAATGTTGATTTTACAGTGTATTTCGAAAAGACGTGAAGAATTGACTAAAACTTTGGAAATTAACAACGAATCTAATGATGAAAATAAAACTGACATGGAAGCTTATAAAACGGTCAGAAGAATCATAGAAGAGTACGCACCAAATTTAAAGAATGGTTTTCTGTCAGAGAACCATAACAGCTTTGGACAATCCAGAATCCTAAAGCAAGAATCAAGACATCTGGATTGAAAAATTTGTAGATAATCTACCAATTGAATTTCAAGATTTTAATGATAATTTAAATGCAATTGATTTAATTGATACTAAAATAGCAATTTGTCAAAATGAATTTGAAGACAATATTAACATGGTAACTGAAGTAGATTTGATGGATGGTAAAATTACTACTGAAAATGAGGAAAATATAAATAACGAAGAAAATAAGGAATTTATGAAAACACTGAAGAACACATTAATGTAAATATCAGTAATAAGGTTATAATAAGTTTCATAAGACTCAAGAACCTGTAGAAGTGAATAGAAAAAATGAGCAGCCTGATGATGATAAATCACAGTGGAGAAAATCGTTTAAAAGAGACTAGTAAAAAGACTGATGACTCGGTGATTATAAACACAGAAAAAGCCATCAGTGTAAAAATTTATGAAAACTGTAATACCATTAATAAGACAAAGCAACCTGTAAGAGACATTAATACAAATGAAAAGACTAAAAAATCCTATCAGTTCTACTACAAAGAAGTGTAAAGTAAATATTTTATCACAAGTGATATTAAAATCTTTAAGTGATGACAAAATGAAATCTATTTGGGACGATCATTTATCCTGGTCACGTGTTGAAGATTCTTTAATTTCAAAGAAAACAAAAAACACCGTTAAAGCACCTTACGCAGTTACGTCTGAGAAATGGAAGAACTACTATACACAGAGAAAGAAGCACGAAAAAACAAATAATTGACAAAATCTGCCTCAGGCAACAGGAAACGAAAAGCAATTAACGAATCAACACAGAAAAGTAAAAAAAGAACAGTACTGAACGAAAGGCCAAATTGCTATTGATGAATACGTGTCGCTCAAATATCTAAAACATAAATATCCTGGCATAATTAAAGCATACGATAATTATGATCAGTATGTGGTAGAAGAAATCGTCTATTATTAAGAAAATTAGCCAGCCCTTTCCTTCTACCAAATCAAAAACTTTATTTTTAATTCTCGAATTAAATCAATATATAACAATATTTTTATACACTGTACTTACCTACGCTAGAAATAATTTAAAATGTGTTCACACAGAAAAATAAAGTTTTGTTACCGAATATTACTGTTGTGTCTTTACTGATTCACTAAAGGTATCCTAACTGGATGGAACTGTTTCTTCACTGCTATTTTGGTATGTTCAAATTTCAATAAATTGTAAATATATCATTTGTAATTTTTAATTCTCATTGAATAGTACATTTGGTTCATGCAACTTTTCTAAATAAAACTGGAAAATATTGAAATATTATTCACACAATTTACGTTTTGAAGGTTTTTCTTGTGACTGAACTTCCTTACTTCCTTAACTGTTGCTTTACTGGTGCTCTTACACTTTCCAGATCAAAGACGTGTTCAGAGTATAACGAAAAGGATGTATGAACACTGGAATGTTATCATAACTGGAAAAGGGAGACGCATTTGAACTAGAATACCCGCATATAAAAGAGATACAAAAACCAAGAAATAATAAACATCAGAAAAGTTAACGCGGGAAGTGGTGAATAAAAGATCAGAAGAAGAAGAAAAGAAAAAATAAATAAATAACCATAAACAACGAAAATCCCTAACGACAAAATTTTAAAATAACGGACACCAGAAAACTAGACTCACTTTGAAATTTTAAATTAATTTAAATAACTAATAATGTCTGTGAACAAAAATTTCCAACAAGAATAACTTAACGAAGAAGCAAGTAAAGAAAATAGTAGACGACACTATCAGCAAAATAAAAAAAAAACGTGTTTCATTACGCGGGTTTTTTGTTTTCCCCTATCCTATAACTGTCGAGTTGTGAAGAACGGAATACACCGAGTCATGAAGATTGGAGTACAGTACTCCCAGTTTAAAGTGGTTTTTATGACAAGACACGACGGACAATATGAGTTGAATAACAAAGTGCGGCCCTGCAAGAAACTGACCACTTTCTTATTTATGGCTAGGGATTTACTTCATTGTCCCCATCATCAACTTCGACACAATGGACCTATCATAAAAACCACTTTAAACTGGGAAGACAATACTCAAGAAAATATCCTTACGTTGCCAGTGCCAAATGCGAAATTTGCGAAACTGTCCTGATTGATTTGACAGAACATATTTAGAATATATGCAACAATATTTATATGTACATATACAATAAGTATTTAAAACTGTGATTTCAATATCAGAAAAGCGAGTTTTGATTAACATAAAAAAATTTAGCAATACTTTCTTTTTTTAGCCTTGGTAATGACAATAAAGCTTCAACTACATTCAAATTTGTTAGGTGACAGTAAACTGGTGCTCGAAATTTATTAATTGACGTAGTACCCCGTATAAATATTCCCGCCAGAACTTTTCGTTATAACGTAACTATTTCAAATAGGAACATGACCAGCTTAAAGAGTTTCTTTTACACAAAGCACTCAAACTTTGGACCTGTATTCTTATTAAAACCCACTTCTTTTGATTTATGTTTAATATGTGACACTGACACAAAACTTTTGGTTATATTTTTATCACCAGTTACCACATTCCATTTTAATAAATGCATACCGAGAATATTGTTTCCACAATAAATTGCAGACCAGCAGACCGCAACATTTTTGTAATCTAAAATTGTCAACGGTCATTGTTGAACCCGGATCTCACAGGTTCCAATATGTAGGTTGATTTAAATTCTAAAATTGACACTACTTTTACGTCTGAACAGAAATAAATTATAATATGCACCACGTCGAAGAATGTCTGCAATTATTTTAACAAAAAAATCGTTAAGTTCATTAGAGTGTACCCTGATCTCTCACCTCATTATTTTTTTAAAGACAAATTGTCATTGGCTAACAAAGGGGTAATCATATCCGTTCACAGTGTTCAACTGGGATTTAATAAAACAATAAGTACAGAGTCCTTACGTTGAAATAAAAATCTCATACCTTACTAACCTGAACTTCAAAAATTTGAACCAAATTTCGTGCAAAAAATTGAAGTAAATTGACAACAGATAAATTAAATTCATGTACTTACATGTCGCCGAAAGTCATTGAATAGTCTGTACTGTCTGGTGCACTTCCTTCCATTTTTTCACTTAAAATAAACTACAAAAAATCAAAAATAACATTACTTAACAGTCACACAGGTGAAACCGTTAATATTGACATTTAAATGTTTTTATTCGAGCTCGGTTTGTTTTGATTGGTGGTTGGTGATAGTTGCCTTGCCAGCGCAGGCTAGCCAACTATCTACACAAAGGTACTAAAAACCCTAATAAAGTGAGGTTATGCAACATTAAATAAAATTTATTTCTGCTTATTATCTACAAAACTCAACAAAGTTTCCACTTTCAGGTTATAATCCAGTTTATTTATTAAGTCCCTTAAGGCATCATTTCCTTGCAAAAACCCTCTGAGGTTATGTACAGTACAACCCTGCAATCGATGATCTGTTACCCTATCTTGTGGAAAATTGTAAGTCCTAATTTTTTCGTTCCTAAAGTTAGACCTGACTTGACTTTTTCTCATAGTCTGGCTTTTTTCCACTTGACTTTCCATTTCTCTCTGGTAGAGTAACGCCCGCAATTTGATCATAGCTATCTGTCTGTTTTTTATTTGAGACCGATCTACTTGGCACTCCACACTTATCCCAGTTGGTAGATGAGTGATTCGCACTGCACTGTCTGTAGTATTGACATGCTGACCTCCAGCACCGCTCGCCCTCTTGGTCTCAATTTTCAAATCTTTGTTTTCTATACTAATATCTATTTCAGACGGTTGTGGAAGAGCGAGCACTGAAACTGTGCTAGTGTGAATTCGACCCGCCTTCTCCGTTGTGGGTATTCTTTGCACCCTGTGAACACCAGCTTCATGTTTAAAATAGCGAAATACATCACTGCCGTTGATTAGGAGACTTCCATGCCTAATACCACCTAAATCAGTTGTTGTATAATCAGCAATTTGAGTCTCCCAGCCTAAAAAAATTGAAAAATTGTGATTAAATTACACACACTACATTTTTTATATACCTTGATGTTCAGCAAACGTAGAGTACATCTCAAACAATTCACTCGCAAAGAGCATAGCTTCCTGACCACCCACCCCTGCATTTACTTCTAAAACCATCGAGCGACATTCATCATCTTTATCTGGGGGCAAAACAGCATCTAGCAGTTTTTCGTCAACTGTTGCAAGTGTCTTTTCAAATGTTACCTTTTCTTCTTCCGCCAGTTTTTTAATATCGTCGTCCTTTTCATTTAGTAAATCTTGCAAATTGGTTATGTTGTCAACAATGGCTTTTCGTTCTTGTAGGATTTGAATTAGAGGTTGCAACTCGTGAACTCTAGTTTTAAGTGCAAAATTGTTTCCCTTAGAAGCGTCTTCATATTCTTGTTCTAGTTGTTTAATGTAGTTTTGTAGGGACACCCCTCGAACAGTCAGATTTATGTCATATGCGGATGAAGAGAAGAAAACTTTGTTTCTATAATTAAAACAATGATTTACGCTGGAGTATATTTTTTGTGCTGTCCCCAGTAACCGCATTCTATAATTTGTTTTTATATTTTTATTTTCCGGTTTTATGTACTTTTAGGTTATCTAGCATAGTTTTTGACAGTTTATAACTTTCATCTGTCAAGTGTCATTCCGTAATGACATCGGCGCCAATGGCGGGAGAAATGGCATATTATTTATAAGTGTACTTGTTGATAAACGTTTAAAAACAAAATAAAAGCATATTTAATGTTGCAGATATTTTATAGTGTCGTTTAAAAGTGTGTAAACTGAAATTTTGTGTAGAGTGAATCATGTCACGGGTAATTACATTTAGTACATATTTGTTCGTATGTAACCTCACTTTTCCAGGATATTCGTTCGTTTGTCACGGTAATTTCCAAAAAATCTGGTACTGATTTGTCAAAAAACACCGCACCTGCAGCGAAAAAGAAGCCCAAGCGCCTAATTGACTCGGATGATGAAGACGTTATAGCAGGAACTCCTGATTCAAAGCATCCAAAAGTTCAAGAGAAAAAAAGGAAAACGGTCATACTTTCAGATTCTGAGGATGACAAATCCGCACAGAAAGCTTCAAAAGGAGGAACAAAAACGAATGCATCAAAAACACAAACAAAAGCTTTAAGTTCGGATTCAGAAAATGAAAAACCTAAAAAGAGCGCCTCCAAAGAAACTAAGAAAAATGCAGTAAAAACGAAGAAACGGGAAATTTTGAGTTCAGATTCTGAGGATGAAGCTTTTCGCAAAGCAAGCAAAGAACCTGAAAAGAAAAAGACTGAGGAAGTGAAGTTGAAGCCTGCTAACATAGCAGACATATTTAAAAACACTCCAATAAAACAAAGCAAAGTTGAACCCCCTAAAACCCCGTCTGTAGAAAAAGTGGTCAAAGAAGAGAAGAAGCCAAAACGTAAAAAAGGAAAAGTTAAAGAAGAAGAGAAGAAAGTTCACAATGATGATGATTTTTCAAAGACTTTGGATGATCTAGATGATGACTTTTTTGAAAATAATATAGATGCTTTGGAGCAGAGTGTGTCTGAAGCCATACAACATAATGAAAAGGAGAAAAAAGAAAACGTTGAAGAGACGCAAAATGGAGATGATAAAAACACAAGGAAGAGATCAAGGACTGAATCACCTGAAAGTTGAGCTGCCAATCAGTGCTTTAATCTAGTTTTTTTTATCATTGTGTTGCAGAGAAAACACCAAAGAAGAAAAAAATTGAACATGTGGATTCAGGAATTGATCCTGGACAGGAGGCCCATGAAAAGAAACGTTACTCGGCGATGCTTTATCAGAAATATCTGAACAGAAGTGGTCCACGGCACCATGGATTGAAGGAACTGCCCAAAGTAAGCCAATTGTACTATATTGTAAACATATTTTTAATATTATTGATCATAAGGGAAAGCCAGATTGTCTCAAGAACCTATGCTTTCTAAGAACTGGTGTTTTGGACTCGCTTGAATCTGAAGAATTTGACACACTAATTAAGGATCATGGTGGCCGTACTGTGCAGGCAGTTTCGAGTAAGTAATAAGTAAGAACTAGTTTTACAACATATTATTATTTTTGTTTTCAGAAAAGGTTAATTATGTGGTAGTAGGAGAAGATCCAGGTCCAGCCAAACTTGCAAAAGCTGAGAGTTATAAAATACCAACTATTTCTGAAGATGAATTGTTGGACATGATTTTAACAAAATCAGGAATGGAGGCAAAATATTGCAAGAAAAATAATTCTGGCTCTGATGAAGGCCTAGGGTTAGAAACAGATCAAGAATCAAGCTCAGAGAAACAAAATGAAGATACACATAAACTAGAAGAAACTAAAACAAATGAGAAGACTAAAGAAACAAAACAGATAGAAAAGGATAAAACAAAAGAACCGTTAAAAGAAAAAACCAAAAAAAGTCCTCCAGTAGAGAAAGAAAAAACAAAAGAACCGCTAAAAATTAAAGAACCTAAAAAATCTTCTGATGAAGAAACAAGTACTAAGAAAGTCAGTTCTTTTTATGGTAGTGCAAGCACTAGTACAAGTACTGCTACTGCTAAGCCAGAAACCAATGAGAAGTTATCACCAGTTGAAAAAGACCCTTCACTGTTACCCTTAACTGAGAAATATAAGCCTCAAAATTTGAAGGCAGTGATAGGGCAACAAGGCGACAAAAGCAATTTGCACAAGTTAAAGCAATGGTTGGAGAACTGGCACAAGAACCAAAGTCCTCAGGTAAAAAAATCTTTGGTGCGTCCATCTCCTTGGGCTAAGTGTGATGATGGTGCTTACTTTAAATGTGCGTTGTTAAGTGGTCCACCAGGTGTTGGTAAAACGACGTCAGCGACACTGGTGGCGAAAGAATTGGGGCTGGATATTGTTGAATTTAATGCGTCTGATACCAGGAGTAAAAGATCGCTTAAAGAAGAGGTGGCGCAGTTGTTGCACAACAAGACGATTGCGGGATTTGCTACAGGTAGGTAATTTTTTCATTTCAGAGCTTTTTTGAACTACTAAAAAATGTTTTGAAAAAATTGTCGCGGTATTTATTTGTTGGTACAAACTCAGATTTTGATCGCGTTATGGACGATGTGTGATTTTGGAAATATTTTTATCTCCTTTTTTTATTGAAATTCAGATGTGGGGTACATCTGTTTTAAATTATTTTTATTATTTTTTTTTGTATTAACGTTATGTACAATAATGTTGTTCAAAAATGAGTGTGCAGTTTAAGACACAATATTTTTGACCATATGAACTAGATCACAGCATAATTATTGTTAAACTTACACCTTAACACACGTTCGAATAAATCTAGCATCAACTCAAAGATTGTAATAACCTAATAATAATAACAAACCACAAGCATTTGTGTGTGGAATTCTTGAAAAATGTCAGCAGTTTTTACGTCTATGTTTTCCTTCTTTTAAAAAGCGATTGATCTTGTAAACAAATACGGACTTTATATAAAATTGCTGCTAAGACATTGATTTCCAGTGACTGTATAATTTATGTATTTTCGATCGATGATATGTTGAACCCGCTCAAGTTAATAGTAATTTGATTTAAAAAAAATCTGCAAAACGTATATACAACTTATTTTTTTAAATGTTTTTTGTCAATCAAAAAGTAATGAATTTGCTTTCATTGTATTTTTACTTTCCGAGCGTAAGCGAAGGAAGTATTGTAATCAGTCCGTCCTAAGTCGTAAGGCTCCCGTTTTCGTCTGTCTGTCCGTATGTCCGTCTGTCCCTCTGTCCGTCTGTCCCTCTGTCCGTCTGTCCGTCTGTCCGTCTGTCCCTCTGTCCGTCTGTCCGTCTGTCCCTCTGTCCGTCCGTCCCTCTGTCCGTCCGTCCGTCTGTCCGTCTGTCCCTCTGTCCGTCTGTCCGTCCGTCTGTCCGTCTGCCTTCCCGACTTTTATTAGACAGATAATCTCCGAAAGTACTGGGCGGATAGTTGTCAAATTTTGTATTGATATTAGGAATATTATGTAGATGGTAAAACGCTAACCACAATTTGTCTAATCATTCCCACCAATAACGTGTCTTTAAATTTGCACGTAGTAAATGAGTTTTAAATTGTATGAAATCACATATAACTACACATGAAGTTTATATGTTAATTATGTTTAAATATTGTGTACTGTGTCATGATAATTTACAATTTTTACTTTCCGAGCATAAGCAAAGGAAGTATTGTAATCGACTTTAAAATTGTACATAGTAAATTTTATGACTCCGAACTGAGTTTTTACCCGAAACATCCAGATTTTTGGAAAAAAAATCAAAATTATGAAATAACATTCTCCAATTTAATTTTGAATCTGCAAAACCGAATGTTTTGAAATCTTGGAGACGTTTTAAAGTTATCATAGTCATGGTAAATTTGTAGTCAAAATATATTTGCTTATCCCCTCCAAAAAATTGATGACGTCACCTCAAAAGTTTGCCGAATAAATCCTATCTAAAATGTGCAAAATGTTTTTGTTTGTACTTGTGATTTATCATTTCATTCATATTTTTTGAATTTGCATATACAGGGTAACAAAAAAATTAATGAATGCATGAATTTATTTTATTTTTTTAATCAGGAAATACAAAACCGAATGCTTTGAAATCTTTGAGACGTTTTAAAGTTATCATAGTCATGGTAAATTTGTTGTCAAAATGTATTTGGTCATCCCCCCCTAAAAAATTAATGACGTCACCTCAAAGTTTTTCTGAATAAATCCCATCTTAAATGTGCAAAATATGAGTCTGTAGTTGTGATTTATCATTCCATTCATATTTTTTGGATTTGCATATACAGGGTGACTCAAAATAATTAATTTTATTGATTTAGTCAGGAACTACAAAACCGAATGCGTTGAAATCTTGGAGGTGTTTTAAATTCATAAGCATGGTAAAATTTTGATCACAATGTATTTGCTCATCCCCCCTAAAAATTCAACAACGCCGCCGCAAAGTTTTGCTGAAAAAATGCTATCTTAAATGTGTAAAGAATGATGAGCCTATACTTGTGATTTATCACTGCACTAATCTTTTTTAGATTTGCTTATATGGGGCGTCTGGAAAAAATTAATGACTGAGTCAATTAATTTTATTAATTAAATCAAGAATTGCAAAACTGAATACTTTGAAATCTTGCAGACGTATTTGTCTTAAATTGGAAGTACTATACAGGGTGTTTCTTTTATTTGTTCACGCCTGACAATTTTTGCGTAGGCAACATATCATACATCCCAGAAACGGCTTCGTCCAATTCAATTTTTTTTTAATAAGCGATCATAGCAATCATAAAAAAATGACAAAGATGTCAATGCCAAATAATGACAAAATTGAAAAAATTAGTACTCATTTTATTTTAAAATACCCCGCTACAAAAATGTAATACGAAAAAAAAACGTCACGTTTCCGACAGCGAGGGAAGTACTGTCTAAACTCTTTAGACCAATTTTTTTATTTTGTCGAATGTACGAATCACCCCGATAGATAGATAAAACTCAAATCGTACTCACTCCGTTTGCCTGTTTTTTTTTTTTTTTTTTTTTGAAAAATAACCACTTTCCTTCGGCTAAACATTTTCACTAGTATTTATTAACAATAAATTAGAAATTCCCGAAAACGCGTTACTTTTAAGCCAAAACGGAGCTCCGAATGCTCCGATGTTGCTGCTACCAGATCGAAATCAAACTGAACATAAAGGACCGAAATAACCTTTGCTCAGATGGCTCACGTGACAGTGACGTGATTGTACGTCACGATGAGATTACAAAAAATATTTTTCAAATTTTGGCCGGGAAATTGCACATTTTCAGGGTTACTTTAACAACATTTAAACAAATTGAATTGTTTTTAATAACTTCATGTTTGTGGGAAAACTGTTTTTTTGGTTTAATTGTGACATATTAATGCTTATATATTTAAACGGTATAAATAATGTTACTTATATTTAAATATTGTTTATTATGCCATGATAATTTATATTATTTTTATATTTGTCGAATACACGAATCACGGACCCACATAAATTAAAACTCAAATCGTACTTACTTCGTTTTCGGGCATTTTTGGAAAAATATCTGTTCCTTCGTGTTCACAGCATTAACGCAAAACATTTTTATTAATGTTTATTAACAATTAATTAGAAATTCGCGGACATGTGCTACTTTTAAGCCAAAACGGAGCTCCGATGTTGCTGCCACCAGACAGAAATCAAAACTGAACACAAAGGACCGGAAAACATGAACTTTGCTCAGGTACCTCACGTGACAGCGACGTCATTGTGCGTCAGGATGAGATTGCTAAACTTATACCATTATATTTATAACTTAAAATAAAGATATATATCCAAAGTTAAAGTAGAAGCGTGCTAAGCGTATGTTTCAAATGAGTTTTTGTTTTACTAAATTTTGTGATAACGTCATTACCATTTTTGCAAAGACAAAGTTTGGATAGGTGCATTCTAATGGTAATAACAATAGTATTGTACTAGATTTTCGGGAAAATGGAATGAACCGTTCCTGATTCAATTAATAAAATAAATTGAACTCATTCACAATTTTTTTTGATCCCCCTCTATAAGCCACTCTAAAAAATATAAATGCAATTATTATAAATCGCAGGTATAGACTCATATCATTCATATTTTGCACATTTTAAATCGAATTTATTTGGAAAATTTTCAAAATGCAGTATTTTTTATTCATTTTACTTCTTACTACGAGCATAAGCGAAAGAAGTATTGTAATAGGATCCATCGGGCGATTGGCTACTTTCATGTTTTTTCCACGTTTCTGTCTGTCTGTCAATATTGTCTCTGTCGATTTTTATTAGATAGAAAATTGGCGAAATTACGGGATCGTCAAATTGTATATGTATATACTTTAAATATCGTGTTAAATGGTAAAACGCTAACCAAAATTTGTCTAATCATTCCCACCAAGAGTTTGATGACGTGCGTTCTTTATATTGCATAGTTGAAGTTATCGAAATTTTGTGAAATGATATACTCTTATACTTGTGGTTTATAAATGTGTTAGTTATATGAGGCACGTGGAACGAAAACTCGAACAACGCAACACACTTTATTATACAAACACAAGTAAATATATAGTGAACTTGGACACACGCGCGCGGGCCACCGACCAGCCATTAGTGTGACGTTCGTCTTCGTCATGGCTACGCCATTGCTGGCGCAGTCGCGCAGACTACCGCCGAACACGCGCTCCATCTATATTTCCTAACAGAATCCTCTGCAATTTTTATCACAATTAATTTGCAAAAAAAAAATTGTGCAGTATTTTTCAGGTGACCGATATCTCGCTTGTACATCTCAGCTTTGCGGCCTATTTGGATATTATTGTTGATTTCGGACTGTGTTTTTTTTTATCACTGTGACTTGTGCTGTCTATATCAATGTAAACTATATTAAATATATTTAAAGCACATAACTAACGTGATAAATTGTCTTTCAGCACTAGGTAATAGCAACCTGAAGTTCAAGTGTTTATTTATGTGTATTCATCGAAAGAAGGTCACGTAGAATTAGTTTGATTTGAATGAGTTTGTCTTCTTAAAACAGAACTAGAATTACTACTTAAACGACAATCGAACAAAATGTTCGGAATATTATATAATAATATATAATACAATTCTTATTTTACCGTCATAGGAATATAACGTTGTTATACCTTGCAAATGTTTTTGTGAAAATTTGAACGTTTAGCGAAAAAATTGAAAACGGATTCGTATACTACAAATCTTGGAATATATTTTTGTATAACATTCAAATTATTTTAAAATAGAATTCATTGAGATGACGTCATCAAATTGCTGGTGGGGATGATTAGCCAAATTTTGGTTAGCATTTAACCATATACATGATATTTTTAGTATACATACAAAATTTGACAACAGATTACGTGATGTCTAACAAAATTGAATACAAACACCAGACAGACAGACGAAAACGGGGGACTACTTTTTCGTACTCTAGGGATCATGAGACGTCGAGAAAACATAAAAGTAGCTGTTCTCTCGATGGACCCTGCTCGGGAAGTAAAATTTGTATGGCTTATTCAACATTAAAGAACAATAACATTTAAAACAACGCCGTTTGGAATGACAGCAATTAAAACTGAAAAAACAATTAGTATTGCCAATAATTTCTTCATTTCTTTCCTGTCAGTATTGTTTGTACAAAATTGACGCACTATTTGTCGGATTAAAAAGTTACTTAGAAATCTGAATTTCCGTTTTAACTGTTTCTTGAGTATACTGCTCAATCCTGCTGAAGATTTCCAAGCTGCAATTTTTTTTAATAGTTTATAGATCATCTTCATGTTCAGCCAGCATGGTGGCAGAAGACCTCCTAACGCAGTGAGCTGTGTAATTTTCAGATTTTTTCAGTTTTAAAAATTCGACTTTTTTTTAATCCTTTAAATTTTTTGGGTTCCTACAGGCTGCCGTGTGCATTTACTCTTTTTGTAGTCAATAAAAACACGTCGGACCAGAAGGGTTGAATATTTTCTATATAAAATACAATCTTTGAAAAGACTATCGCCTTCTGTGGTCACAAACTTTCGGCAAGACTTAATTTTTGTTTCTTCTAATAATTCACATTTTGGTAATCCGATCCGTTTCCACCTTTAAACAAAAAATTATTGGTTTTAATAACACATTTGAAAGTTTAGACCGGAAGTTCTATTTTCGGAGGGCCAAAAAAATTCATTGTAAGAAAATTTCCCGGTGCTCGAATTTGTTCACTGTAGTGGAATGATAGATAAAAGTCTACTGATAGTATGAATGTATTTTTTGTAATAAAATTTTACCCAAAATATAGTTTAATTTTTTATATAGCTAAATGTATGTGGTCCAAGAGACGGTCAAAAATACTGTACTCTCCTATAATCCACAATTTTTTTTCAGATTTTTTTTAAATTTTAATACATGTGGACACTATACATATAGTTTAATGAGCTAAAGAATTAAAATACATGTTTTGAAGCTAATTTATGGAAATTTATTTTATAATTATTGTTTCAAAATGAATCCTAAAATGAATATGCGTATACCACTCTCGAGCAAGTTGATGACCCGCGACATTCTCAATCTATTGCACCTCTAGTTATTAACCACGTGGGTATTTTAGGTCAAACAAAACTGACAAACAACCGCGTTTTGCTCATGGACGAAGTAGACGGAATGGCAGGCAACGAAGACAGAGGTGGAATGCAGGAGCTAATTCAGCTAATCAAAAATTCAAGCGTACCCATCATTTGCATGTGCAACGACAGAAACCACCAAAAAATCAGATCTCTTGTCAACTACTGTTTCGATTTAAGATTCACAAAACCACGACTTGAGCAGATTCGGGTAGAAAAACAACGAAACGACATTTCAGATATAAAAGTTATTTTTACAGGGAGCTATGATGTCCATTTGTTTCAAGGAAAAAATCGACATCTCACCTCAAGCGCTTTCGGAAATAATAGCAGGGACGGGCTGTGATGTTAGACAAACGCTGAATCATTTATCAGTATTAGGTTCAACTAAAGAAAAAATTACGTCGGAAATCGCGGAAAAAGAAGCGAAAAGTTCCAAAAAGGATACTATTATGGGTCCTTGGGAAGTATGCAGGACTGTCTTTACCAAGAGTGAACATAAAGATATGAGTGTTGCTGATAAAGGGAGACTATTTTTCTATGATTATAGTTTAGGGCCACTGTTTGTTCATGAGAATTACCTTAAAGTGCAGCCAGATAAAGCAGAGTAAGAATTCTATTACTTTCATTCTGCAATCCTAATTGTTATGTTTATAGTAAAAAACAAACTTTATTAAAGGCAGCTCTTGCTGCTCATTCTTTAAGCACAGGTGATATTGTTGACGCAAAAATGAGGAAAAGCAATAATTGGGCGTTGCTTGAATCTCAGTCTTTCTTTGCTTCAGTGATTCCAGGGCACCACATGTCTGGGACTTTTACAAGTCAAATTAATTTCCCTTCATGGCTTGGTAAAAACTCCAAAAAAGGCAAATTCAGCAGAATGTTGAACGAAGTACAAATGCATTTGCGCACTAGGTACTTATGGGACATACTTATAATGAGATTGCAGCGTTTAAACTTCTACGTTTCAGCGCATCTGCTAGCAAAATGGCTGTTAAACTAGATTATTTGGTGCCATTACGAGATGCCATTTTATCACCACTTCAAAAGAAAGGAATGGACGGCATAAACGAAGCAGTTTCTGTAATGAAGGAATACAACCTGCTTAGGGATGACGTAGATAATTTGGTTGAATTGTATTCGTGGTTGAGTAAAGAGAATCCAATGAATAAAATTGAATCAAAGGTAGTTTTTTGCGCTTTTTTGAGGTTATGTATTTTTTTTTTTTGGTTAATTTTAGGTTAAAAGTGCTTTTACTAGAGCGTACAACAAACAAGTAACCTTATTACCTTATGCACCTATGTCAGCAGTAGCAAAGAAAAAAGCGGCAGCTGTAGACGCTGATCTTTTGGGAGAAGAGGAAGAAGTTGTTTCTGACAACGAGAATGAAGATGATATTACCAACAACGCAATGATTAAGGTGAGGACCATTTTTATTTTTATTGAGTTTTGTGTTTTTACCACATTTTACGTGTAGGTTAAAAAGCCAACTGCAAAAGGTAAAAAGACCGATGAGGAACCCAGTACGAGTAAAAAGACTAAGGCAAAGAAAGGAGGAGGAAAGAAAAAATAATCTCATCGACCATCAACGTCAAAATAATTTCTACACGTTTATTTTTTTAGCACTTATTTAAGTCGTCTTACTTTCCCATTTTATATTTTATGTAACCCGATAGCAGCTATTGGCTGAATTTTCTCAAATATATTGTTATTAAACTGGTTTAATATAAGACTTTAGATTTTTAAGTGTTCTTAATTATTTCCTCACTCTGAGTAGGAGCAGCTGCCATTTCCAGCATTTTCAAGTCGCACAAAAAAGCAGCTTTGATAAAAAAAGTCCAAATTGTGCACACTGGTGTAATGTGGATACAACGAAATGGTGGAATGCGTTTCTAGATACAATATGATGAAACAATCTGTTGATCTCATGTAAAGAAATTAAGTTTGACACTTCTCAATATGTGAATTACGTGTGGCTCAGTCTGTTTTTGATACTTCATTTTTTAATTATCTCTATTGTGATAACCCGAACATCCCGCCTTAAATAAAAATTCAAAAATTTGGCGTTAGCTGTGATCGTTTGACAAAATGGAACCCTACGTTGTGTTTTTGAAAAATGGCGGGATGCGTTCACCAAATATATGGAGGACACAAAATTATTTATTCCTCCACTGCCAAAAAAAAAGCTGGGAATAAGTTGTGTCGGGTGAGAACATCCCTTAGTGCTCAGCTCCAAAAAAAAACTTCGAATGAATTTTAAATGAAATCAAATTAAACGTTCTGAATCAATGCAAATATTTGAAAATCACAAATTTAATAAAGCAAAGCAAAATCTGACTTAAAGTAAGTGGATGCAAATATACAAGTTATTACAGACGTGTGGCGGCGGCAAATTAAAATTATGGCAGCCAACAAGAGAATAAAATTAACAATGCAGCGGCAGCGGCACCACAGCGCTAGAAGAGTGCCGATCGAACTATGGTAATTTCATTCTAGAGCACAACAAAAATACTGATAGGGGGCGTTGTAGCGCGAGCGGAGTTTGGGGCTCCTGGTCGTGGTTGTTCTCCTACCCACGACGGTGATTCTATCTATTGAAAGCATAGTCGCCCAGCACCTCAAGAGTGCCTAGGCGAGCGGGCCGTTACGGTCGCAAACTTGTAGTTGGGTCTCGACTATTGGGCCAAGTCGACAGCGCCTGAATTCTATTCTAACCTACATCTTTTGTGCAGATGGCGCGATAAATCGCGCCGGCTCGACCAGGAACCGCGCATTCCGCTTCCACCACGTGTTTCTGAGTTATTTAACCTCAATTCCATTTATATGTTCAATTCTTATAACTCTGATATTAAACTACAACTGAACAAGTGTCAAAGTTTCAAAAAGGGCAATAAACAATATTTAAATTCGCCATACAGTCTTGTGAAATTTTAAACAACAAATAATTCTTATTTGAGATTAAGATTGGACGTCAGATAATTTATATGTATGATGGAAACATTCATCAAAAAAATATTTACATAAAAAAAAACTGGCAAAGTGAGGTTAGAAACTGCAGCGCATAAAAATTTACGTTCAATTTAAATTATACAACAAAGAAAATTACTGAAGTGAAAATTGTGAGTTAGAGAAATATTGTATGAAGTGAAAATTGCAAAGTTAACAAATTTACATGAGATTAATATTTGGCACACTATATCAACGATTCAAACAAAGAGTTTACATTATGTTCCATTATGCCACACTTTATCAACGATTCAAACAAAAAATTTACATCATGTTACATTATGCCATGATCCAAGTGATTGCTTACTTAAAACAATTTGTTTTGAAGGTTTATATCGTGACTGTTTATCCCCCAAAAAGCACACAATAAATAAACACAAAATGCGTCCTGCGTTGCGAGGAATATGTGCCTCGGTGATGTAATTTTTAACGTTGCTAGATAATATGTCTCTGTGATATTGCTGTGCACGTTGCGAGATAAATCTCTCGGTGATGTGATGATGATACGATGATAATAACGATGCTAACTGCATAAGGAGAGAAATCTTTATTCCCCATGTTAGTCCATGTTATTGTATTATTAATTCTGCTGCACTTTTCTACGGTATTTTTCCACAGTGAGACAACATTAGGTTAATTTAATTGCCGTAAATGAACTATTGGCAATCTTGTGTGAAGAATTAATAAGTGTAATAATATAACACTTAAGTAGCATCCAGAAACGTTATTCGTAATTAGACAAACAAAATCAAACGAATCCTGACTAAATCAATTTCATGAGAACTCCTGTGAGTGTTTATCTAAACAAATTCCTGATTGTTAAATTGGGTTAGAACTAGTTAACGATTGAACTCCTAACATGAACTGTGAAATTACAAACAATGAATTAAATTTACGCGTGTTAGCGTCGGTCGAAACTTCACATTTTTCTGCTTCGAAAACCGCAAGAATTAGCTACCCGCGTTGGGGAAACTGTGGCGTCATCGTTGTTATGATTAATTTTCGTTAAAAGCTTTCTCCATTTTATTAACTACCAAGCCAACTAACTTAATCCAGCTAAGTTACCGCGTCTTTCCACCATGCTCTTACTCACGAAACCAAAACAACAGTGACGCTTTCACCTCTCTACCAAGCCACCCTCTTCGACCAACCCTCTAACTGAAATTTCAAGCAGAATTACACACTGCCCAAAAGCGCTAACGTACAAATGGTTGCCTATGTTTGACGATTTTTTAGAGTGATTTTTTTTTAATTCAAATTATTCGGTCACCACATTATTTTTAAACATCATTTATCTCGTGTTACACCAAACTAAGCTCAAAAGAGGGTAACACTATAATAACTGTTAATCCAAACATCCCGGGAAAATCAGACATGAAAATAAAATTGTAAAACCCGCGAAAAATAAAAAAAAAAAAAAAAAGCAAAATGGAACCCTATTTTGTGTGTATTTTATTTGCCTGGCGGACTGCGTTCAAATGCAGAGTGGTGAGTGGTAAATTGGAAAAGTACCCTTAAATCAAAATGCAAAATATCAAAGGTAAATGGTTTATTCCCTTACCCAGGAGAGAGAAAAGCTAGTTATTTGCCAGTTGTAAAAAGCCTCTCCAGGTCTCAAAAATGAAATCATATGTTCAGACACTGAAACACCATAGTGGAAGTTCAAATCGTAGGTCACGAACTCTACTTAGATTTTAGGAATTTACGAGCTACAACACTGGCAGACTTCTCCTGCTCATTCTTCGTGTTCACCTAGGTTATATCGTGGTCTTATGAATACTCATATTACCAAAAACAAAGCACACATAAAATAAACCCAACAAACATAAACTACATACCTACGTCAAAATCAAAATAATAAATTCGAGAATAATTGTATAATTTATAATAAATTCAGTTTACGAGAACATTAATTTAATAGACGAAAACTTCAAAGTCCTTTTTCTAAAATTCTATCAATGTCGAAGACTACAATAATGTGATAACATCCCGAAAAAATTTGGCATGTGAACACAATTTGAAAACCCATGAAATTCAAAATTTGGCCTTGACTGTGATCGTCATCAAAATGAGACCCTATGTTGTGTGGGTGTTTTTTGTATGGCGGAGAGGGAATATGTTCAAATACAAAGTGGTGAACCCAAAGTTGAAAAAGTACCACTAAAACACAAAAAAATAGAGGAGAAAAAGCTGTCGAAAAAGTTATGACTATTATAAGGTAGAATGAGAAGAGAACAGATAGTTTGAAAAAGTTGGCATAAGATACAAAAATAATTTAGTAAGATAGAAGATAAAGGCAGTAGCAGTAAAAATTACTTCAGTTTTTATGTTGCAATGAATATTTTTGTTTTTATTCCATAAATAAACAAATAGTAGACGTTTTTATTAGCTATGAAACTATTTTAAACCAAACGGCATCGCCTCTGATCCTTTGCTGTTGACCGAACGCCCCCGATGTAATACGTACGGAAAGGGCTAAAAATGAAAAATAACTTCCGTGGAGTTCTTTTACGGGTAAATCTTGAGGCAGGATTATAACCCCAATTGCAAAACCCTCTAGCTTACAAAAATGAAATTAAATCAGATGTTACGAATTAATTCAAATTTTTGAATATCACAAATAAAAAGAAAAGCATAAAAAAATCGTAATCGTCATTAAAGTGGTAAAGTGTGGCTGTAAATTTAAATTATGACAGCCGAGAAATCAGCAAGCTAACTACGTTGTAACAAGCGGAACTTAAGTTCCCCTCGTAGTCTGTCACCCTTCCTCGATGATTTTACTGTTGACAGACATAATATACACACCACAATTCTATGCCCAAAAAACCTGTCGTAGTTAATAAATTAACTACGCTCGTATTGCAGAAAGACTGTGGTGTCGAATGTGGTTCATTTTCGTTTAAACAATTCTCCTTTTATGAAATTACAAACTAAATTTAACATAGCAACACAAAATAACACATGACCAAGATACCCTTTTCAAAAACTAACTGCATTGATCTAGAAACCATTCCCCTCTCTCTAAATCGAGGGTAGTTCGTCTACTTCCCTGCATGCTCGACGCTATGTTACTGACTGACATTCTTCTTTTTTAGCGCGAAATTTAAATTTCAAAAATCAGGACACCACACTAGTTTTATAAATACCATAAATGAACTGTTGTAAATCTCGAGTGAGAAAAAAGTGTGGATAATATATTAACTTAAATAAAAATAAAATTGGACCTTGAATTAGTGAATTTTCTGTCACATAATTTACATGAACATTTATATTACTACGCTAAATTACATTAGATGAATGACCAGTTAAAAGTGTTCTTAACGACATAAGGCCGACATTTAACGGGCAAGGAGACGTTTTGTGGCCAAGGCAAATAAAATGTCTTCCCACCCGTTAAATATTTTTTATAGCTGACTTTAATAAGCGGCGCTTGGAGAAAGCGTTTTCTGTGCAGTTTTATCTAAGAAACCCTGTACATAATTTTCAGATGAATTTGGCCCTTGTTCATATTTAAAAAAATCATTTTTAAATACTTTTTGTGAAATCCAATACCTAAGCGACATTAAATTAGTATATTTTGCCAGTAAAAGTTTGCTTAAAGTTTAATAAACCGTAAGAGCATTTTCTTGGGTTTTGGTAGTTCAATATTTTACATTTTGAATTTTCTTACTTAATGAGACACACTATTTATTAGTTGTCGTGCTTTTTTATGTAACTGGATCCATAAATGTGGTTCAGAAAGTATTTAGTTTCTTCTCTTATGAAGTATTTTTAAAAATGTCTAAAATTAAAAATTCACTGCGTTAATTGATCATAATTGGTGGAGGTGCCGGGATATTCTTCAAACTAAAAAGCGAAATTAATTACAATGAGTGCAAAACCAATGAGTGTGTAAGACAAACATCATACGGAAACAAATGTTTGGTCGATACGTTGACGCTGCTAACAGTGCCATAAGATTCTATACAACGACAACATGATCTTCTACCAAAAAGTAATTTTTGTGTGGAAAAAGTTAATCAGGAAAACCATTTACAAAATTCTTAAACCCAACAGAAACACTACCTCCTACGTTTAAATATTTCTGCATCTAAAAATACTAAATAATAATTATTAAGGTTCTAAGAAATGGGTAATACTGAAAGTAATGTCACCAGCGGGGTGAAGAAACAAGCCGGTGCTTCGATTTTACCGATTTATAAATTATGCGATCTAAAAGGTAAGGATCATATTTAGTGTTTTATTATATTTGGGTAGTTTATCGCGCCTTATCACTTATAAGATTATTTTTTATTTCAAAATTGTCATTTTGTTAAGAATTTTTTAAATGATTTTTTTATTAAATCAACAGCAATAGATGCCGGCCTAAACACTTTTTTTCTGGTCAATTGGTCGTAATATCTGTATACTATACCTGGGCCAAAAAATCCAGTTTTCTAGAATATTAGATTTTTATTTATCACATTTCTGTCAGTTTATCACATATTTACATATATTAAATTTGATATTCGGAAATAAAGTTTGGTATTAAAATACTTCTCTCAGTTTACGCTCGGTAAATAAAACATAAAGGACTGTGTTAAACCCTAAAGACACCACATATTTGCCTATATGTTTCTGATCTTTTAAGGGGATTTAGTTAACAAAGCCTCGAAGAAGTTCCAGACATAATTTCTAAAGTGAATCATAAAACTTTGTTTACAACCCATATGTTTAAAGTTCAAAGTACAGTTTAGAATTATTACTAAGCAACCTTTTGAAATGACGTCATAATTCTTTAGAATAACACGAACAGACAAATATGTACTATGTTCAAGATAACCTTAAATTGTGTGCAAAATTTTAGAGAAAAGGAATTGTTTGGTAGTAATTTACTTGGTAAAATTTTAGAGTAACGTCATCAGTCTTTCAGAGGCAATTAACGGACAAATTTTCGCTACATTTATTCAAGTATTATTTTAGAGCAACTTAAATTAAACATGAACATGTTGGGGCTACCTTTGTGTAGTCGGTAGATTCAGAAGTCAACTTGTACTCCTTATGGATACATACATATGTAGAGTGTATGATTGCAGTATGTACCATAATTAAATAGCACCATATTTTTTAAGCAAACATTACCTTCGCCTTGTTTTCTTAATTTAAAAGCAATTATCATACGAGAATAAATATTTGACACGATTTGTAAAACTAAAATGAAATTTAGTATGAGCTCTTATAAGAAATATTTCATAAGTTTTCGAAAAAATTTAAAGGAAGGTCAGGTCCTTCAATATCTTTGATGTTAACAAAGTATTACTAAACTTGTGGTTTATGAATCCGCAAATTTCAATAGCTTGAAAGTTGTAAACGTGATTTTAAAAGAGCTACCTCTCGAAGCTTATTTTGTAAGTACCATAAATTTTGACTAGGCAAAAAGGATAATTTTTAGTTATACCACTACTGAGTAATATTATTATGTAGATGATCATAACAAGAATAGAAAATAATACCCATTTTCCAATATTTAGGAGGAGGTTTGCTCGTGGAATTAATGAAGCGAGCAACCCAAAATAAACAATATGCAGAACTGGACCATGCAATTAAGACGAAGGTATTTCAAATAAATTTAGTACATAGAATATTATCGTTATCATTTTTTATCATTCTGCAGGTAGAACATTTTTTGTATAACAAAGGGGCAGGCCGATATTTTGCAATATCTGATTTGGTGTTACTGAGGAATAAAGAACGACCTCGTCACAAACTGGTTTGTATTTCCAGAAAAAAAAGACACCCTCTAGTTCACCATATCAATTCTAGCTACCACCGCTGCGAGCCATGGAAAATCCCGACGAATTCGAAATCGATGATGAAGGACCAGAAGTAACTGAAGAAGAGTATCAAAAGAGTAGCAGCAACCCGAAAGAATACCATTAAAAGAATGAAATAACACATTGTTTACAGATCCTCATCTGTATCGCCATATTTGCTGGAAAATCAAGGAAAGAGGAGCAGTGGGAGAAAGCATAATGCATCTATGTTTACTAAACGCAACTTCTTTGCATGCTGACATAGCTAAAAGATTGTTACGTTTTTACCCAAAACTCATCAATGACATTTACATGTCGGATGAATATTATGGTATTCAATTTCGATTTTTTGTTTCGTCGATAATCCGAGTTTCTTCAGGTGAAAATGTTTTACACATAGCTATAGTTAACGAAGATCCTTCCATGGTAAAGTTTCTTTTGGATTCTGGGGTTAACATTCAGGAACGTTGCTGTGGCAATTTTATGTGTCCAGAAGATCAAAAGTCATCTCGTTCGGATTCTCTTGATCACGAATGGGTCAATGTTTGTGCCGAAACAAATTATGAAGGGTTTTTTACGTGCACTGGTTTTTAGAAACATCGCTATACAATCTATTTTTTTAGATATGTTTACTGGGGTGAATATCCTTTGACATTTGCTGCATGTTTAGGACAAGAAGAAAGTTTTCGGTTGATGTTAGTTAGAGGAGCAGATCCTGATGCTCAGGATACTAACGGCAATACTGTTTTACACTTATTAGTAATTTTACAAAAATTGGTAACAATACTAAATCGCTTGATTAAATATTTAAAGTTAGTTTGCAGGAGGCCTTTGATATGGCCTATGAAGTTGGTGCAAAATTAGCAATTAGGAACGTATTAAATCTTACGGCTTTAACACTAGCTGCAAAACTTGCTAGAATTGATATGTTTTTTCATATTTTGAATCTAGAACGAGAGATTTATTGGCAAATAGGTAATACTAAAAAGCATCTACAAGGTCCTAACTAATTATGTAAATTGTTAATAGGCAGTATTACCTGTGCCGCGTACCCACTATCACAAATAGACACCATAGACATGGAAACGGGCCAAATCAGTAAAACATCAGCCCTAAATCTTGTTGTTTTTGGCGTACGAACAACACTAAACTTATTTCTTACTTAGGAAATTAATGCTTTGTTTTAGGATAAGGACGAACATTTAGAACTGATGGATGGAGTTCTAATAGATTTGTTAAACGCAAAGTGGAACACTTTTGTAAAATTCAAATTCTACAAGCAGTTTTTTACTTTTTCGTTTTACTTTATAATCTCACTCATAGCTTTCACTTTGCGCCCAGGACCACCACCAAGCAAAGACTTTGCACACTCAAATACAACCAACACAACAAACACATCACTACTGCATCACCATACACCCGAAAATATGAAAAATCTTACCAGAATCATTAACAGTACAATAAAATGGGAGAACCTCACCTCCATACCAATTTTAAAAAAATCGGATGACGACGACGACGAAGACAGCGACGTAGAGGAGTGGTGGGACAATTTACAAGAAGAGTGTCGTTTGATGCAGCTCACTGAAGCTCAAGACAAGATTAGATTAACCGCTGAAATTTTAATAGTTGTGGGAGCTTTCACGTATTTAGCTTCGGCGATTCGAGAAGCCCGTTTTCTAGGAGGACGCATGTTTTTCGAGAATTTGGTAAATTCATTTCTACTTTTGTATTAAAATCAAGTACTGGATTATGTATTTTAGATGACGGCACCTTCAAGAGTTATGTTTCTTTTTTCGTGCATTTTGATGTTAATTGTTCCTTTCCTTAGACTAGCGTGTCTAGACGAAAAAGAAGATATCGTGACGGTAGTCATCATGTTGACGACAGCTCCCTATTTCTTGTTTTTCTGCAGAGGTTTCAAAACCGTTGGCCCTTTCGTGGTGATGATTTACAGAATGGTGATGGGTGATTTAATTAGATTTGCTTCAATTTATCTTGTATTTGTTATGGGCTTCTCTCAAGGTAATAAGATTTTTAGTTGCTTTTAGTTTTTGGGATTAAAACGTGTCTGGTGCAGCTTTCTACATTATATTCCTGTCGTTCGACGACCCAAAAACTCCAGATGACGTCGACGATTCAGCCACCAATCCCATGTCAACACCCATAGAGTCCATCATGGCAATGTTTCTTATGTCGATGACTAATTTCGGAGACTATTATGCTGCTTTTGAACGCACAGATCACGAATATGAAGCAAAGGTGACTTTTTAAGTTCCTATTTTGTGTTATTATTAACACAATTTCTAGGTGTTATTTGTTGTGTTTATGGTAATCGTTTCAATTTTGCTCATCAACATGTTGATTGCTATGATGGGTAACACCTACCAAAAAATTGCCGAAACGAGAAACGAGTGGCAAAGACAAGTGAGTCTTTGAATGTTTGAAGATTTTATTTTGCTGGTGGTTGTATTTTAGTGGGCACGAATTGTTTTGGTCGTTGAAAGAGGAGTAAGCCCTGCTGAACGTTGGAAACAGTTGATGGTGTATTCACAACCTATGTCTGATGGTAGAAGGGCTTTGGTTTTACGACTAAATCAAACGGTTAGAATTGAATTGTAATAAGTTTGGAACTAATTGTAATTTGATTCCAGGACGAAGATAAAGAAGAAATGAAAGAAATATTAGAAATGAGACGCAGACATGAACGGCATATTAAAAAGAGGAAAGAGAAGTTGAAGGAACTTAATAAAACAACTTAGTTGTTTCTTGTTCCTACTATAAGCACCACTTTGTAAAAATTAGAGCAGCAGTAGTAACGCTTAAAATTATATCTAAATTATGCTTTGCAGTGTTGTATATTTCTTTTACTAGTTACTGCTTAGTGTTTTGTCAAGTTTAAATGTTGCCAATATAATACTTACTTTATACTCGCATAAACGCTTCGCAGACATTTTAAACATGACGTACATTTGTAAAGTACCTGTTTAAAAAAAATGTGGTTATCGTTAAAGAATAAAATGTATTGAGTAAAATTTACATTCTGTTTAGAACACACATGCATTTTGAAAAACGTGCTTTCTGTAGTGGCTGTACTGAAGGCGACGGCTGGTACCACTGGCAGATGCAATCCTATTGTCGCCTTAAGAATATAAGGAGCAAACTCACGTTTTAATTTCGGGCGTCATCCTTTCGAAGCACTCTCGAGCATTCCTCAAGGTAGCTATTTAGGAACGATTTTATTTTGGTTTTTGATTCATAAATTGACGTTTAAACTTTCATCATGCCATCTCTTACTCGTTGAAGATCTAAAATTATTTTCTGCTGTTAAACAAAATTAAGACGTTTTGTTTTTTCAAAATAATGTCAAGCTAATGTAATCACCACGGTACTTCCCAGAGAGCGAATGCGAGACCACCAGAATAATGTATATATAGAACTGTTTGTCGTAACTAGTAGCGACAACTTTAAATACCCGTATCATTAATATGAAGGTTTAAATGGTTTTAAATCGAAGGATGAGGTGAATCCCAAATAACAGTTTATACCACAAAATTTATCTGAACACAATACAAATGACTCAGTTGACCTCGATGTTCACTGTTGTGACTGACATAAGTTTCCGTAAATAAAACTATTCGTTCGTAATCATCACGCAAAACTAGTAACTTCTGCTTAACCATTATGTAACAGTGTACTCCAAGAACAACTTCTTATCCAAACAACCTGCACCAGGCGGCCTTGAATTAGATAATGTAATATCGACATATGTGTGATGCCCATCAGTTCGTAACTAACCACAGTAATTTTCTGTTGAGTTTTCTCGAAATGATGATGTTTATAAGTGTTTTTTTATTTGAACTAGTTGCTACATTAGCATCAGGTAATATGGTTACCACAGAAACAGCAAAAAAATTGAACTTTCTATTTTTGTAGCCACAGAATGCGATGAACTCGGAATTTTGATATACGAAGACTTGGGGTGTCTTCCAGAGTATGGCAACGACACAGAATGTCCTTTGAGATATGTTTGCAAAGGGCTAGAGAGATCTCCTTCAAATTGTTACTTTCGTGGAAAAAGTTACAAAGATCGCGAGCAAGTTGACAGCAGCCTAACAAATCCGTCTTGCGACGAGGGTTGTTTTTGTACGGCAACAGATGAAGGGTTGTAGTAGAACTAGAAGTGACTTTTATATTCATGTCTTTTTTTTTCTAGATCTAGTTTCATATGTGCTGTTCTAGATTGTCCAGAGAATCTAGGGGATCCAGTGCGGCACGGTTGTTACAGAAGTTATTCCTTGGACCACTGTTGTTCCATTGGTCAAAAGTGCCGTAATTAGGTATTGAGGGTTTTAAAAGTAGGGTGTTTGATTAAACCTTTTAGCTCCTTTTGATAATACCGAAAAATGTGAAGTCGAAGGCACGGTGTACAAAGAAGGAGAAATGTTTTATCCGTCTGACACTTGTCTGAATTGTGTTTGTGGTAAGGGCTTTGAAGGGAAATTCGAGGCACCATTTTGCAAGCGAAGAAGCTGTGGGCAACAACTACGTAATTCTGGGGGCAAAATTCAAGCATCATGTGCACCAGTTTATGGCAAAAAATTCCATAAGAAAGACCTGTGTTGTCCAGATGACTGGATATGTCGTAAGAATGTTTAATTCGTTATCAGTATTTAATACATGGACGTTTTCTTTTAGCCAATGAAACTGAAACTATCGAAGGTGATGCTAAGTCAGGTAGGTTTTCAGGTTTTAAATATACATAGCAATTAAATTGTATGATATTTTAGAAGAGACATGCAAATTTGGAGAAAAAGAAATAAAAGTTGGACAATATTTTGAAAGATTAAATTTTGAAGATTCGTTTGGATTCCACCATAGTAAAATTAAATGTGAATGTGTAATTCCGCCTCTTATGAAGTGTACTGACGTAGCATAATAATTTTGTGCTAAACTAAATGTACATATGTATAATTATTGGATAATCTTTTATTAAGATTACCTAACTATACTATTATTAGTTACTGATTTAATTAAAAGTTGCATGTGTGTGTCAATATTATAAAAATCTTAGACTGCATTGTAACTGGTATTCGTTTATGTTTATGATTAATATTCATTTCGAGTCGACGTGAAACAGGTGTGTGTCGCTTAACGAATCATCCAGATACTTAAGAATCAACTTGATCTGTTTGTCTCATATGTTACAATAAAAGCATAAAATATTGCGTTTTATTATTTTGTAAGTACAGTCCAGTTCTTGTTTTTAAACGATAAAGCCGTCAAGGCCATTTTCTTGTGGTCCCAGGTAAACAATGAGTCAATGACACAATCTGGTAATTACAGTCGAATAAATGTATATACTAGTGAACTACCCTAAATGTTTGCAAATTGCTAAAAAAGACAATGAAATTATGTGAAGCTAGTCTTTTTTCCCATTTTTTAAATCTCTTATTAGATTAACAATCAAGCAGTGAGGATTAAACGGTCAATAAAAGCTAAACGGAACCTATAATAGGTTCTGGGAAATAATTTCCCAGTTGCAAAATCCCTCCAGTTTTCAAAAATGAAATCAATTGTTACCAATCGATACCTAGAAATATTGGAACATTACAAATTTAAACACTGTAACTGTATGGGAATGCACAACTTAAGTTCCTCGTCCCATCATCCTTCGTCGATGCAAGTAGGTATAACATATTTCATCTCAATGTCCAAAAAAAACTGCCGCATATTATGCACTTTACACTTCGTTTTCGCAAAACAGCCAGCGGACGCAGGTTTCTCCTTGAAGTTTATAATATAAAAATCCATTTGAGAAATTGACATGACAAGAAAGAAACCTGAATCTTGACTAAAAACCGTGCGATCTGTTTTCGCCACGAAATTGTGTGCTTTTATTTCAATTACAAATCAAATCCTATGCTTTTCGAACTAAAAACGATATCTGAAGTACCATAATTACCAGGAAAGATGCAAGCAAGATTTAATTATGCTTCACTCTAAAAAAATTTAAATAAAAAAAAAATTACATGTTGTTAAAATATTTCTAAAGATATTTGGAAACAGAGTTAACCACTTTATGAGTGTCATTAGTCCCTAGTCGACCTTCAACTTCTGATCTTGAGCTTAATCCCCATAAAACTACCTACCCGAGTAACTTAAGATTAAGAAATTGTTGATAAACGTTTAAATAAGAATTTAACTTTGTTGTTCTAAAAATTATTCAAATAACCATTTTCAGTTGATAGGAGTCTTGCTGTGATCAGTCACAGGTGGTGAAAATAAGTAAACATGTGGAGATCGTGGAATGAAGTAAGTGCTGAAGAAATGGGAGACGTAAATGTTAAAAATGAAGAAATGAATTTCGAAGACGACGCAGTGGATTTTGAATATGGGACAATGGATAATCATCAAGAGAATTTCGGAATTAATAAAGAGGTTGCTTGCTCTAAATGACTTTTTCTTCCTCCAGAGGCAAAACAAATTACCTTTAATGTGTATTGAAAGAAACAAATGTAGTGCAAGAAGAAAAATTGGTCCAAAGTTGTTTCGATAGAACTTCCCTCGCTCCTGAAATACAGTGATAACTTTTTCAATAAAATAAATTAACTGATTCATTAATCACCCTGTATACGGATATCTAAAAAATATGTATGGAATGATAAATCACAATCATCATCATATTTTGTGCATTTTAGATAGGATTTAATCAGTAAAATTTTTAGCTGACGTCATCAATTTTTTGGAGGGGATAAGTAAATATATTGTGATTAAGATTTTATCATGCTTATCATAACTGTAAACCATCTGCAAGATTTCAAAGTATTCGGTTTTGCAGATTCCAAATTAAATTGTAAAATGTTGTTTCATAATTTTGATTTTTTTTCCAAAAATGTGGACGTTGCGGATAAAAATTCAATTCGGAATCATAAACTACATGTGTAGGACTATGCCATTTTATACTATTGAAAACCCATTTACTATAGACAATTTTGAAGTGACGTCATCACATTATTGGTGGGGATGATTAGATGAATTTTGGTTAGCGTTTTACCATCTGCATGATATTCCTAATATAAATACAAAATTTGACAACAATCCGCCCAGTACTTAGATTCTGTCTAATAAAAATCCGGGCAGACAGACGGACAGACGGACAGACAGACGGAAACAGCAGACCTATTTCTTCGTCCTCTAAGGGTCATGAAAGGTCGAGAAAACGTAAAAGTAGAGAGTCGACCGACGGACTCGATTACAATACTTCCCGAGCGTAAGCCAAAAATTAATTCAAACAGCCGGATATATCTACAGAAGTTTCTTACACATTTGTTTGTCGAATTGTAAAATTGGGTTTTGGTTTTACAATAAGAAAGGAAAGATTGGATAAGGGAGTCGCTCGAGAACTGAAAGTAGAGAACATGCGTAAGAAAAATTCCAAATTCTGGATCAAAAAAAGAAGTAATTAAGAAGTTTCTTGAAGAAAATGATTTATATTACGAGCATCACTACAACAGAAAACAACTTCTAGAGGTTCTTCATACAAAAGAATTTAATAAAAGCTATATCATCGACGAGGAGGCCGCCAGACACGGTCGTTTCTATGTCCTGCGGTTACCTCCTTATCACTATGAGCTTAACCCGATTGAAATGATATGGTCCGTATAAAAATCAAGAGTACGTCAAAATAACAACAATCCAAAATTTAGTGCCAGTGCCATCGACGTAATTAGGGATCAAGTAAAAACAATTGGTCAAAATGAGTGGTTCAATTGCGTTAAAAAAGTCGTTTCAACAGAAGAAGTCTACAGGAAACGACAAGTCAGTGAACTTGTATATTTAGACGACAGCAGCGACGAAGAAGACAATGAATAATTTATTTTGTTTTAATTTTAGTCATTTTGTAAATATATAGGTAAAAGTACTTAACTCTGTTTTCTTTAAATTATGTGTTAGTGTTAGTGATTAGATCAAAACAATAAGTCGAGAATAAATGTTCAAATTCAAGATGTAAAAAAATATTATACGTGTAAGTAAATATTGAAGTCTTCGAATCCATCATGATATTAATTTAACAATTAATAAAAACTTTCGAGGCCTTTCTCCCAAAATGGACGTCTGAATATATGATGTCTTAAATAACTTTAGATATATCGTTATTTAAATATTATTATAAATCTTAGGATGAAGTGTGAATTTAAAACAATAAAACAAAAATAACCCATGCTGATGAATTTGTTAAAGTTCCAAAACATGTCACATTAGAAAATGGCTAATTAACTGGTCGTACACTAGTTACACTCGTTTTTGTTTACACAAATGCTCTTTGGTGTAATTATAAACAGAATTCTACGTACAAATTTGAACACAAGAAGTGAGGTCAAAAGATCCTTTTTAAAAACTACCATACTTAACAAAACTTACTAAAACTACCAACCTATGGGGCTGACATTTCACTCAATATGCATGGTTACTTACCTTACTGAATGATACTGAATTTTAATTTTGAAAGTCTGGATACGACAAAGTGATTTTTAATAATGCGCAAATAAATTTTCTCTTGGAATAATTTTTTTTCTGCCTTCGAATCATAAGACTTACAATATCTATATTATTAGCAATGTTTGTAGTTACATTCATGTACAGTATGTTAAAACCACTGAAGTGATCATTAAGATTTTTGGAAAACATTTGATCCATGATTAATTTTATGTTTTCCCCATGTTGCCCAGAACTATTACGGTGGACTTGGAAGTTATATACATATATAGAAGTTTTCCCTAAAATTACAATGAATAAGGGATGTCGTTTCTATTTAGGACAACACTGGTATCGAAAAATTGAAGGGTTGGGTTTGTCGAGTCAGTATAGCAAAAATAAGGAAGATGTTGGTGATTACTTTGGAATTGATTTCGTTGAATTCAAACCAGAAAATGACTTTGATAACAAAAGTCTGTGTCCTGACATATGGACTGAATTTCGCCATCGTTACAACGAACAACAAATGCATGTGAATCTTTTCACTTCAAATGTAATAAATTCTGTGTTCACTGTAATTTTCAGTAGTGATGTCTTAAATTTCATTAGAAAATTGGTCAATTTCATCAGGAAAGGTGTTATAAAACCATTTGTCTACCAATTTTTATGGAAAAAATACACCATTCGCTCTATTATAAAGAAAATCTAAGTTTTGCACAAAAACCGTTTTTATGAATTTTTAAAAAGGCACTTTAACTAGGTTCAGTTAAACAACAAACCCGTGTTACAAGTACCTGCTTGAAATAAATATATCTTAATGAAAAAATAGATAAGTAAATGCATACATTCAAATCCAAATCTTTGCTAAATTCATTATGTAGCCATTATTGTAGCAAAAGTATTGTAGTTTATATGTGTATATTTTAAAATTTAGTTTCAATGATATTATTAATTTAATGAGATTAATAATAAAAAATACATTAATTTTGTTTGTAGACCTGCTGATAACATATTTGAAGAACAAGTTCTTTATTCAGCGACCTGTGTTTGATGTCCTTGTTTCTGATATTTTTGTCGTTGGCTGTGTTCATCACTTTCACATAATTAAACCGCTGCATATTGCAAGGTGTACAGTCATGTTGTCTTCTTATATTGTTTCCGTGCTGCTGCTGGCAACATATACGTTAGGTAAGTCATTAGCAAAACTAAAGATTTGATAATGAAATTACTAAATCATGTAAATTAATTCTTTATAAGAAACATTATTATTACTACGAATTCAAAATGTAACTTTTGCTACAAAATGTTTTAAATCTAGATAATAAAAATGTGATACTTTGTACGAGTAAAATTAAGATACACAGTAATGTCTACAAATTGTTTATGGAAATAATTTGATCGCCATTCAAGATTTTTAAAAACACAAAAACCCTTGTTTTCATAAATACTTAATACGGTTCCAGCTCTTCTGTTATGCCGAGTTTTTCTACTTAAAATTGATTTCAAACAACAACATGTTATGTAATGTACAATATTTGAAGTTCAAGGATCATCGTGATAATAAAAAATGGGAAATAGAAATGATTCAAGGTTAACATTTTTTTTTTATAAAAAAAAATATATTTTGATAAGTAACTAATAATAAAGACTAAGTATATTCTGTTGCGGTCTATGGTTGGGGTGAAAAAATTTACTGAAATTAATTTAGTTGAGAGTATCATATTCCCTGAATTTGGAGAAAGTTAGTACCAAGTACTAAATTTCAACATCATTCATCACATGTTTTTTTTTTTTTACAGTACACCCTTTTTCATATTTGGGAAGAGAATAAATAGCTTAACCAAAATGTTAATTTATTTTTGTCGGTACGTCGTGTTAATAATTTATAATAAAGATAAAGCAAGATAACCAATAGTTAAGGAAATTAACAAATTCTTAGCATTCATGAAAAACGTTTCCACAAAGATCTTAATGTTCGTAATTTCCGTAGGAAAAGAATGTAATGAACTTGGAATTTTACTTTACGAGGATTTAGGATGTACCCCTGAGTATAATGTCGATCAGGATTGTCCAACTAAGTACACATGTAAAGGTTTGGAACCATCCACTGACCACTGCATCTTTCGAGGAAGAAGCTACGCAGACAAAGAAACAGTCAATGATACTTTTTCATATGGGACATGCAGACTAGGATGTTATTGTACAACAAATGATGATAAGTATGGTTTTGCAAAAATTGAAAGATATAATTTAAAACTACCACTTTTGTAGCCCAAGATTCCAATGTGCAGTACTTGATTGTCCAGAATGGCTTGGTGGGCGCCCTCGTGAAGGTTGCTACAGCAAATATTCCTTGGGGAAATGTTGTTCAACTGGTTCAGTTTGCCGTAAAAAATTCATTTGACGAGTGTTCTATGATCTATGGCTTTATCTTTCAGCCCCTTTCGATGATACTGACACGTGTGTAGTGGAAGGAAACGAATACAAAGTCGGTCAAAAGTTTTGGCCAAGTCACACTTGTCTAGAATGTGTTTGTCAAAAAGGATTTATTAAAGGAAAATTCGAAGCACCCTTCTGCCAAAGTAGACTTTGTGGAGAACAACTGGACAGACACGGTCCAAGTATTCAAGCGTCTTGCGCACCACTATATGGTAAACACGAATCTAGAGGAATAGTTTGTTGTCCTAAGGACTGGATATGCCGTGAGATTTTTTTTTGTACTTATACTGAATTTATTGTTACCTACGTTTTATTTTAGCTGACGGAAATGAAACCATCAACGGCGAAATTAAATCAGGTAAAATTAACTGATATTTCCCACTTTTTGTAAAATCGTATTTTTTAGAGGAAACTTGCAAATTTGGAAACACAACTGTAAAAGTTGGACAGTACTTTGAAAGATCAAATACTAGGTGTGAGTGTGTAATCCCTCCTCTTCTGAAATGTATTGAGGTGTAAATTATGTGCTTAAGGTTTTGTATTTAAACTGTGCTTTGATAAACTATAATGTTAATCCCGTGCTTGAAACTATTTTATAAATTTTGCTTCAGAACTAAACATTAAAGATTTTCTACAAAATTGTGTAATAAATTTTTCTACCTGCTTGCCTATATCTTCTTAATATTTAGAACAGCACAGTCACACACATAACTATACAATTTGAAATTGAATTTCATTATCTTACAAATTATTTTCATCGAAATTAATTTAAGCTTCATCAGAAAATTAACAAAAGTTAGAATTAAAGGTCGAATACTCGATTTTGCATTGAAACAAACACAATATTCTAAGAAACCATAAACTCAGACCAGGAACCAATGACGGTCGACGGTCATACTTTGATTTGACGAATCGTTCTGCTTGTCTAATTTTTTGAACACAAACATATATTAAATAAACATAGTTTAATGGAAAATACCTACATTCGAAAAACCAAAATCTAAGTTCAACGTCATGTAGCGATTTACTGCAATAAATGAATTTTGGGTTACATGAAATAAAATTGATTTTGAAAAGTATTATCAGTTTAATGAGTTTAATAATTAAAATATATTCGTTTTGTTTACAGAATAGCTGATAAGTGATAACAAATTTCAGAACATTTTTTTTATTTAGTGACCTATGTTCCAGCTCCCTGTCTTTGATACTTTTATCGCTCGCCGTGTTCATCATTTCCACATAATTAAACCGTAATTTCGCAAGGTGTGTAGTAATGTTTTCTTTTCATATTGTTTTCCTGTTGCTGTTGCTGTTGATAACATATACTTTAGGTAAGTTATTAACAAAACTAACTTTATAATTTTTTTTTCTATTGTCGTATCTAAAACCTTGTTTAGCAAACCTAAATGCTCGCCGCTAAACGATGCTGTAATCATAATGTCATAATCGGTGGCTTTAGACTCATTAAAAACGGACCGAAGATGCGTTCGGGCTCATTAGTCACATCTTGAGAGCGTTCGGCAGTTCTCGTGATGATTAAACACGATGAAACCGATATCAGGGATTGCTCAAATGAAGTGTATTGTTTAATATATGTTTACAAAGTTGGGTGCAAATATTACTGAAAATGAAGATTTATTCATATACACTCTACCGAAAGTCAAAGACGTAGCATAAACTGTAACTGTAAGTAAGGCAAACGATTTTGTTTGAGTTTTTTCGAAACTTGGGTAATTATTGTTTTGTCTTGGAGTCGTAGAAAAAACATAGTATGTAACACGTTCATAAACTTCTCCGGTCCGATCGTGCTTAAATAAGCTGTGGCTAAAGAGGTGTTTACAAAACTTGTTGCAAAATATGCTATATTAAATCATGTAAATTGAAAATAACATTTGCATATATTAATATTTATCACAAAAGTTAAAAAATTGCTCTTATTTTCGACAGAACTTCCCTCATCCATGTACCACAATAAATGCAGATTTTTCGAAAAAATTAATTTTCCGGATGTTATTTTTTTATGAAACCCTTATTAAGTTAAAATAAAGATATGTATGTAATATTAAAATAAAGATAAAGAAGCGTGCTACGCTTACACGCTTATCTACATACGTGTTGATAACATATTGAAAACGTATACAGATAAAATTAAGTCCCGGAAGAAGCTCCAATAAAGGGGCGAAACGCTTGTTTCTTAGATATTTTCAAGATAAACGTTCAAAATTCAAGGCACAAGAAAATGATTAAACCTGAAAAAGAATTAAACTTGAAACAATCTATTAATCCTGTAAGAAAATGTTAAATCCCTCCCGTTTTTCGAGTCCACGGGGGTGTGACCAAAGAATATTAAAAGCAATGAACAAGAAGCGACACTTATGTCGGTATCTTTGATTTTTCACTGGCCAATTTTAGTGACGTTCAACCATTTTGTTGGGGTACTTTGACCCGCGAACTTTGAAAGTTGGTTGTATGAAATGATGAATGTACACATACTGTCATTTAGTATATTAAGTATTAAGAACGGTAAAGAAGGTTTGGTTCTTGTTCCTTTCAATACTGTTAGGACATCGAACAAAACTTATTCTCGCGTCGAATCGTTTCGCGTTAAGTTAAGCAAGATTTCACAACACAGGAGTAACCTCGTTCTCTTCTTATCGGTGGCTCCGACATGAGCTGCAAAAATCACTTTCTCTTTGTCCGTGAGTGTCTCGTTTCTTGTTGATTCTTTAACATGACTTTAACCGGAAACTTTTCAAGGTCCTTTTTCTCAAAATGCAGTTTCGCGGCGTGATTTTTCTTCTCTCAGCGCGAAATTTCAATTCAAAATGGGACACCACAATATATTGAGGTCAGATCATGCAATAATTGATGAATCATGTCCATTGGAACCCAATTACAGCAATTTAGGAGTTAACTTTAGTAATGTGTGGGAACTCCATGTGAGGCTTTTGAGGCACACTAACCTAGCCCACTTGAACGCCTTGCCAAAGGGTACTAGGGTCTGTGGAGGATTGGGGAAATGTCTGACCCTTCGACTCAGCATATTCCACACAAGTTCTATTGAAGATAAATCAAGGGAACATAGAGGTCAAGGATAGACACTACTTCTGATTTTGCTAGGCATGCTAAGGAGGTCTAAGCTATGTCTGGGCCAGCGTTATTTTGCTGGAATAAGATGTCTTCGTTCTACTGTATGTATGGTATGTCTATCGGCTCTAGCACTTCCTGGATGTAATGAGGTGCTATCATAAACCCTTCAATAATAATTAATGAGAACCTAATGTTATCCATCGACTCTTTACACTACAATTTTGACTCGCATGATTTTTTTCATTAATTTCGTGCACTCAGCAGGGTGCTGAAGGTCAATTTTCCGGCACACGTGTTTTTGGAGTTTTAACACTCCATTCTTGCCGTAATATAGAACACGTATACGAGGCGCACCGGAATAGGAGAACTACGAGCTAGGTGTCGGTGTCGGTGTCGCGGTCACCGAAACCGGTCTGAACATTGGCATGTAACGCCGCGCTCTATAGAAAAAGAGAGAGAAATAAACTATCAAACAATATGTACATGAAACGCCTTAGAGAGTGGTTGGTGCTGATTTCATTTATTAGGACCTCTAAAATGCTCTAAGGGAACACAACCTACACCCACTATCAGAATTCATGGAGTATCTAGACCACAATGATCCAAGTTATTTTGTTAAATTAAATTTAATTCTGCGTTTATTTGTCTTCTTTTTTGGCTAATTTATACCTACATCATGTGTCAATATTGAATAGTTCTTTAATAAAATAACGATCACTAGTTAAATTAATAATTTTTAAAGTTTGATTTTGCGAAATTTTTCAGGCTGGCCGATTTTTTTTGCCGGTCAGTGTATTTTAAATCGAATAAGTTATAAATACTGCTCTAGCATTTGTAAATATTTACTTGTTACTTTAGTTAGTAAATTACACATTGTACTTTAATTTTTTTATACAATAATATTATAATAGTTACTCCTAATTAGGATATTTCTATTTTATAATAAACAACAATTGACAATACATGGATATTTACTTTAATTAAACCAATCATCATCATTAATCATCATTTTGTCAAAAAATGCAAATGCAACATATTTTTGGTTTTTATTATTTTTTAAGAGAAAAATTAATGACTTCGACGCGTATACGTGTTTAATTTATATAAATTGATAACGCACAGTTAAAACTCCAACCGTGCGTCCCTGGGTCGACGCACTCTTTTTTTTGCTTTTTGTTTCTTCTTCTTTTTAAATTTAACATATATTCGTTTCAAAATGGTAAGTTTCGTGCTTATGATCTTTTGTCATGAATTTCGTGCTCTCACGGGGATGTGCTAATTTCCCGCACGCGTGCTTTTACTCTCCTTTGCCATGGTAATGGAATATGTGAAGGCAACACTTACCACCTCATCCACTGTTTTTAACGTCGGGCACGAGGAATCTTCTTCAGTGTCTATTAACAGGGGCGTTTGTCCGGGCGTTCCTTTAAGCCCCATGCTCTTCAACGTCGTCGTCGACGAGTTGTTTGGAGACATATCGAGCAACTATAAGGGATGTCCCATGGGTATGGGGGCTAGCTGCTCCATAGTAGCTTTCGTCGATGACATCGTCCTGTTGGCTGAGAACGAAGTGGATCTTCAACGCTCAATAGATAAAGCCTCGAAATTCTTCTCTCGCAGAGGCATATCCCTGAATCCTTCAAAATGTTATGCCCTCATCAAAAAGAGAATAGGCTGGTTGACTTTAACCCTTTCCGGTACATGACTTCGGGAATCACGGACAGTTGAAGCCGTGTCTAGCTAATTATCCCATCTGGTTGCAGCGGCTGGTCGCCCTACCACTTAAGATCAGAAACTAGCCATGTTGAAGACTCACGTGTTACTGAGGATCTTTCATTCGCTGATGGGGACCAAGATCACTAAGGAGACTCTAGCGAGCCTAGATATAGTCAACAGGCAATACACAAAAAATATATTGCACCTTCATCTGCACACCTCCAATGAGGCCATGCACGCACCGTTACGGGACGGCGGTCTGCGAGTGTGGGAATTGGCAACATATATCCCCCAAATCTACGTTAACAGACTGTATAGATTACAGGTTAGGGCAGCGGATGATCCTGTAGTGTCAGCCATGCTGTCCTCACAACGCGTTGCCGACTTCAAGACGCGTCTTCTGAAGATGACGTCTCATTTTCCTGAAGGTGGTTACAGAGAACTAGTAGAGAGAAGCGCATTCACGAGGGGTCTTACATGCACCAACCAAGACTCCTCTTCCAGGTCGTGGATATCCTCGCGGCCATACAAATGGAGCGCTAGCGAGTGGGTGCGGGCTATCCATCTGCGCACCTCGAATCTTCCTACAGTCGGCATTCCATCGAATCCGACCAAACTCCGCAAATATCGGGGAGGTTGCTCGGCGACAGAGACAGTCTGCCACATTCTTCAGTCTTGTCCGGTGGCTCACGACGAGCGAGTTTATCGTTATCACGCCGTCGTGAAAAAAATCGCCGAGCATTGCGTGCAAGAAGGATGGAGGGTCGAAGAGGAGCCGCATGTGAAACATGAAGACAGAACCCTGTTCAAACCGGATCTTGTCATCACATTTC